GAGAAATAATAGTCAAGCTCAAGCGTTGGTGGCGCATATTGGTCATTATGCTCAGTCCACTCATACTTCTTCCACTTCCTCTTATTGTCAGAACTATTGTAAGAATTGAACATGTATTGTCTAGTAGGCAGAATTGTAGGTATTGTTATTGTTATTTTTTATAGCAAGCAAGATGTGCCTATATTGTACTGCTTCTCACCATCTATTGGGTGATTGAAGCAATGCCATATGCAGTAACTTCCTTATTTCCACTTGCATTCTTTCCTATGGCCGGTATTTTACCTGGAGACGTAATTTGCCTTAATTATTTCAAAGTGAGCGGCTCATTTTTGCATTGTTTATTTTAACATAAAATGTTATTTATCTGTGACTTTTAAGGATATTACAACATTGTTCATTGGCAGTATGATACTAGCTCATGCAATGGAGCATGTTCATCTTCATCGACGATTAGCATTACTTGTACTTAGTATTGTTGGTTCATCGATCAAATGGTAAGTGGTTTATTGTTTTTCTTACATAAATACAAGCTGTATGTTTTCGAACAGGAGTATGGCCGGATTAATGGGTGTCACTGCTTTCTTGAGTATGTGGATCAATAATTCAGCAGCTACCAGTATCATGATACCGGCAGCAATAGCCATTATTGATGAAGTTGAAAATTATGAAAAAAAAGTGCAGCAGGAGCAACAGCAGCAAGCACCAGAATCTGAACGACAACCGAAAGAAATTATACCAATAGTTACGGCAGGTACTGGACAATTTACATTTCAATCATCATTCAAATAATTATTCTATTTCATCTTTAGTCGTCCTTGATTTGAAGCCAATAATCGTCGAAGAACAGAGAGAGCAGTCATCTTTACAGCATAGTAAAGATATAAATTGCAACGAGCCGACGATTGAGTAAGTTTATTTGCTAACCCATGTAAATATTTTTTTGATCAAAACGCGTCTGAATGGCGTTTCGTTGCGTTTAAATCGCAGCAAAGAAACGCAATAAAACGCGTCTCCAGTGAAACATTTCTTGCGTCTAGACGCGGTCTCATTTTGAACTGCGTCTGCCCGCGTTGTTAGAAGTCGCGTCTAGACGCAAGAAATGTTTCACTGGAGACGCGGTCCTAAATCACATCGCGGCTAGACGCGGCTGGAGAAAATCGCGTCTAGACGCGTTCGATTCGATATTTAAAATTTTAAAAAAATATTACAATCCGTCTCAGGTTTGATCTGAGTCGCCATCGATATCCTCTAACGATAGTCTTTACCTCACCATAGGCAAACGGAATGTTTAAATGTTGATATATCTAAAATGATAGAAATGAGATTAGAACAAGTGAACTAGCGATTAAGAAGCAAGTATACGTACCGTGAAGCCACATGTGACCACAATCGTTCTCGAATGAAGCAGAAAGTATATATGAATCATGAATTTATATCTTATTTACAAATACATATATCAATAGAATGCTTTCTGTATAAATAATATTTTTATTATTAACATATATATATGTGTGTATGAAAAAGAAATCCATTAAATAAACTGTATATATATTTAAAAACTTTCCTTAAATTGCTACAAACTTTTCCTTTTGAAAAAAATATTTCTTCACATTTTTTCTATAAAATTTATTGTTTTCAATTTAAAATACTACCGATGTTTCAGAATCTATTATTTGCTTATTATATTTTATTAAATAATATGTATTTATTTTGTCTTTCTTTTTCTTTACGTAATAAAACTATCAAAAAAGATTTTCGATTATAACTTTCACATTTAAAAAAAAATTCATTGAGAGATTTCAAGAAACCTCAACAAAATTTGCTTCTGATTAGAAAAAAAAACACAGTTGAGCTAAATGAAAACTTATCAAAAAGTTAATCATTTTTATCAATAGATTGATGTCTTCATCGACATAATCATTTTTCTATGCTATAAAGTACGAATATAACAAGCGTACAAAAGACACAGTCACATTTATAGCGCACTAATTAATATGATGGACAAAAAATCATGAAAAAAAACGTGAAAATAGTTGAGCACTCAACATTTTTTTTAAATATTTCAATTTTATAGATGATATCGACAAATAATAATTTGATGGATGTAGAACTCGTGTCTATTTTTTTTGTTGGCGTTTTCGAATATAAATGAATATAATATATAGGATTATGTGATGCAATAATTTCTCTTTCTGTTAATCGAACTTCATTATGTAAAATGATTCAGATGATGATATACTAAATGAATTCATCGAAAAATGAGTGTAGAATAGTTTTTATATATCTGTAATATATATGCAAACTTTAAATATCAGCATCGGTTATGATAGTTGAGAATCATACTTTTTTTCATTAGTCAGTAATTGATAACAAGATGATGCAGTCTCGTTCGTATATCCCAAATACAACCTGCTAGAGATGGTTTAACCTGATATTTTGAGTCTAATACAAACAAATAGACAATCTTCAGATTTCTCAATACGTAATTCACTATTCTTATACATATCCAGGACATTTTCGGCACACGTCTTTATAACTGTTTGTAGAAGAATGGTGTCTCCAAAACTTATGAATCTATAACGCTATTGAAGGCAGTGTATAGCATGAATGAGTGGTTGACTTTCAAAATGATGAGAAGCACACATATATTTTTAATACTTTAGCTTTCCTCTTCTCGCCTATATTTCTACAAAATATTTTTTGCATCAAAGCGCGCCTGAACCGCATTACGTTTCCGTCTAAGTCGCGGCAGTCAAAGGAGTCTAGATGTGTTTAGAAATGAAATCGCGTCAAGGCACTTTTGGACAGTTTTTATTAACCGCATGTAAATGCAGTTTCATTTAAAATCGCGTCCAAACGCGTTTCGAACTTTTCTTTAACCGCATCTGAATGCGATTCATATAAAACTGCGTCTAGACGCAAAAAATGTCTCACTGGAGACGCGATTCCAAATCGGATCGCGTCTAGATGCGGTTCGAAATAAAATCGCGTCCGGACGCATTTGAACAGTTCTTATTAACCGCGTTCAAACGCGGTTTCATTTACCATAGCGTCCAGGCGCGCTTAAAAATTTTCTTTAACCGCATCTGGACGCGGTTGCAATAAAATCGCGTCTAGACGCAGTAAAAATCGATTTTAGCCGCGTCTGAACGCGGTTTACAACAAAACCGCGGTGGAACGCGTATATCCTGCGTTTGGTGTTTACATGGGAACAGAAACTAATCGCTCTTACTCTTATTTGTAAGAATGCAAGGTCATATCAAGCCTGTTATCGTCACTTTCCGAGTCTAATCAATGCTTTTTTAGAAAAAGATGTTTTATCAAGAAATAAGTTCCGTTTAAATGCATAAATTAGTTGTTGCTGTTAGTATATAACAATTTGATTCACAAGAGAACCTCTCCAGGTGTAAAATAATTTTTCGTTGGAGAATATTGCTATCAGATTGATTGAATTGAGGAATGAAGAATACTATCTAGATTTTTTTTTCTGTAGGACTTGTTTTCTAGCAAAACCTGATTTTTGAATTTCTACTTGAAATTCTACAGATTATAAGACCTTGATTGAAATCTCTTGCAAAAACAGTTTCATAATTTTTGAACAACGCATTTTCAAGATATGATTTTTTTTTCAAAGAACTAATGTTTTTCGATATACTCATTGCTCAATTCTACTATTGTAAAAACTTCACATCTCAAAAATATAATATGTAAAAGTTATGGAGCGTTTTTTAAACAAGCTTTTCTAATTCAAGCCTTCCGGTGAGAGGTGAATAACGTTATCTATATGGCATCATCGTGAGGACTAGATAATTTCACCCATTCTCTGATAGCAATCGAAATAGTCTAGAGTGCGTGAGTCCCATCAACTATCGCTAACATGTTATCATGAATTTGTAAATTTAGACCATCAAACAATCAATCAATAATTCATTCAGATAGGACTAATCGTTTATCCACAACGCAAGTTGACTATCGACAACTCAAGAGCGGTACGATATAAACTATAAATCGGTAGAATTCAATTGATGAAGATCATCTATCTCTTCGTCTTTTTTGAAGGCTTTCTTATTGCTGTGGCTTACAGTTCTGCTTTGGGCGGTCTGATAACACTCGTCGGGACTGGTACAAATATTTTTACCAAAGGATTTGTTGATCAGTGAGTAATTTCATGATGTAGAAACTTTCTTCTTTAATAAGGTCTATGAATTGAACTAGATTCTACACAGCTGGAAACCGTGCTTTCAAAATTTCATTTGCCAACTTTTTATTGTTTGGCATACCAATTGGTGTGATCATGCTTATACTTTGCTGGCTATGGTTACAAATCTTGTATAATCGCAAAGAGTAAGTTTGCAATCATACTCTTTGTTAATTATGTTCATCTTTATACGAACAATTGTAGACTCTTTCAGTGGAAGACTAATTTGACTGCGAAAGACTCACAAAAACATTTAAAAGTTATTCTCAAAATGCAATACAATGACTTAGGCCCATACAGTTGGCGTGAGCACACTGTTACTATTCTTTTCATTGTTATGGTCGTTCTATGGGTGACACGCGACTTTTCAACTAGTTCTGGATGGGAAATCATATTTCGGAAGAAGTAAATTCGATTTTTTGTTGAAAAACAAACGATTGATACTGTCGTTTAAGTTATGTTACTGATGGAACAACAGCTATACTCATTGGTTCATTGCCACTGATTTTACCCGATCAAAATCCATTTCAAGGTATTTATAAAATTATTTTGAAATAGAAAAACAATCTTTTTTGATTAGAAAATTGGAAATATAACCCGATTCTTGAATGGAGCGAACTGTCAAAATCATTTCCATGGGGTGTATTCATGTTGCAAGGTGCTGGATTTGCTATTGCTGATGGATTTAAAGTCTATTTTTTCATGAAAAATATTTCCGCTACACATATTTGTATTTATAGGCATCGAATCTATCGACAACTATTGCTAGTTCTCTTCACTTTATTGTTGGAGCACCTCAAACACTTATCATTTTTGTTGTCATTATTGTCAGTGCTATTTTCACTGAATTTACAAGCAATGTCGCGTGTGTTGGTATCTTATTTCCTGTTCTTGATAGCATCGTAAGAAATTTTTCTTTCTCTTGGTCTATCATTCGGCTTTTATTACGTCCTTTTTATTTCGTAAAGTCTCATGCGGCTCACATTCATCCAGCTTATCTTATTCTGTCATCGTGCATGGCTGCTTCGCTCTCATTTATGTTACCAATTGGTAAGTTATTCATTTTCATTTTTATTCGAGTCAGTAACAAATCATTGTTTCTAGCTACCCCACCGAATGCCATGATATTCTCTACTGGTCATGTAAGAATTATGGATTTGATCAAAGCAGGCATTGGTATAAAAATTATCGGTATCCTTGTGATTTTGTTTGCTTCGACTACTTTTCTGAGACTTATCTTCCATGTTACTCAAATGATACCTGCTTATAATGTCACCATGATGGCAAACAATACGATGGGATGATGAGGATGAAAGAGATACAGACATTTTTTTAAATCTGCTTCTATTGAATGTTTGATAATTATTTCTAAAATGCTTGCGACTATTAGCAACACTGTCAAAAATAAAAAAAAAACATAATCGTTGCTGAAATTGGTTATACTAAAGTATGGGGTGTGGATGTAGGTGGGTGTGTGTGTGAGGCCGTGTGAGTGTGGGTGTGGTTGTACCAAGGGAAAGACTCACACCCACACTTGAACTCATTGAGTTTTCTTATATATCCAAAAGCCACCTTCGTGTTATTTTTCTTC